ATTTGCATGTGCTAATTTCAGGAACACTCATTTTTTTAATATGGATTTGCTCCAGTTTGGATTTAGCCTCGGGGTATTTTGACCCCTTCCTTCTGCATTTTTTTCTCCCTTGACTCAAATAACAAAAATGAGCAAAATGCTGTTTGTCCAATGAGATACTAATTTGAGACTCTTCTCCCTTCTTGGTGATGCAAGTCAGCACTGACATTGTAAATTCAGGTTCCATGAAGCACATGAAGTTCATAATAAAATCTCAAGGGTTGATACTGTGATTTCAAAATGGTGCTTCATTCCCTCTGTTTCAGGTCTAAAACTAAGAGGGGCTGCCCCAGCTTAGCTTACAGAGGACTTCAGATACTTCAGGCTCTACTATTGCAGCAGAGAAAATGGTGTTTGGTCCTTGTTTGGTCTCCCACTGCAATCATTATTCTCTAGAAGTTCCCTGCAGTGCCCACAATTTCTTGCCATGCCCAGTTTTCAACATATGAATTTATTGTGGTGTGAATCAGGGCAAAACAGATTGATATCCCAAATCTCCAGCTGCGGAAAAATGAGATTTCTTGGAATGACGGTACTGCCTTCTGCCAGTTGCCTCATCTCCCGATCAAAGAAATGTCATAATGAATCAGCTTTTAGGTAGGACCTTACATATATTCAACATACAGACACAGAATGGTCTCAATGCACTCCAAAAGGCTCCGCCAAGCTGGAAGAAGCCTTGATCAGTGCAGACCCTTCTCAACCAGCTGTGACACAGGACTGTGTCTTTCCCACTTTATAATTCTTTGCTGAGTGCTCATACTGAAATTGTTTCATAACCACATGAATTTGGAGTTTTCATTTCGCCCTTGGAAGAAATGTAGAGCCTGGCACACTGACAAGTATAACAGTGTGTAAAAGCACAATTAACTTATGCTCCCACCCCATTTTTTTACATTTCTAAGGAAGACCCGAGATTTCAGAGTGATTGTTTTCACTTCAGAGCCAGCAGCACACGATCACTTCATCAGCAGTGCCGTGCAAAGCCGGCACGTTCGGCCACTGGCACGAGGAGAGCTCACAGCACATCCTGCTCCTTCCCTCAGCAACAGGCCCCCCAAGCCAGGGAAACAGTAATTAAAAAGGCCAAACACCAATTAAATATGGTGCTAACAGACTTGGGCACCATACTCCCTAGGTTTTGTCTTAGTACAACCAGCATTTTAATTTCAAAATATGGTTTTGTCTATGCATAAACATGTAGCACCTTAGAGACCAAAGTTTTGCAGTATATTTAAGTCAGTTTATGCCCAAAGATGCTGAAGTGATCTGCTTGCCAAGTATTTTGAGATCGTGGATTTTCAACTCACCTTGATGAAACACAGACAGCTAGAAAGAAAATGGTTTCAGTCACTCCATGCCAAGATCCCAACACTACAAATGTTTATGAACTTTGGCATTTACCTGCTTTCCAAAGACAGCTTGGGAGAGCAGAGTAATTGCAAATGTTTGCAGAATGCTGTGTGACTGAGACAGAGCAGTCTGTGAAAGTGGAGCTTTCCAAGGCAAGAAACTTTTTAATTATTTTGAAGCTGTTGAATGAGCAAGGCTGAAGTTCCCTGTGCTGACCATGGGTGCTGTATGAAACCATTGCTCTAAATTTGGATCCCTTCTGCCACTTGCTTCCCCGAGGTCTTAATGACACTATGTAGAACATCTCACTTGCATTTCATCTTCTTCCTGAATGTAGACTCCCAAAACTCTTAAACTCTTTGCTGGTCTTACAACAGATCTTAGCAATTGTATATTTTCCTTTTAGTCACCCTGGTATTGACCTATCTTTGGCAGCTACATGTAGATATCTCACTAGTAAGAGGTGATAACACAGATCAAAGCAGCTTTCAGATTTAATCACCCTCATAATCCTCAAGTGAAAAAAATCCGAAACCAAACTTCCAGAGTTCATCTGTCTTAAATTCTCTTAGAGTTTGCTTCAGATATCCACCAGACTCGTCACTTCTAAGGGAAAACACTTTAAACCCACTATCAAGCTGACTGTCACTTCAGAACCACCATCCCTTGGACCATAAACAGCACGAGGCTCCAGCCTGGTCTCCCATTCCCAGCAGCATTTGATAGATCTGCACATGCTCTGCCTTTACCACCAACCCCATACACACATTCTGCCAGGCACAATCATATCTGGCTAGCCTGGCAACCTGCAAGCTCTCCCAGGCACAAGGTCTGGAGAGCCTGGCTGCTACAAGAGGAACAGCCAGCTGCAGCAATGGATAAAATTGCACCTAAAAGCAGAACAGAACAAAACACCACGAGGCCGAGCCTCTGCAATCTCTCTTTCACAAGCCTCTGCCCAGATCTGTGCAGGGTTTTAAAACTCTGTTTAAATACATGGATAAATCAATTAAAGTACTCTGCCACTCCCAAAAGTTGCAAGGGTCACAAATTTAGAGCAAAACACATATATATCCACCCAAAAGGCAAAGGGGACTGGTTAGTTTTATATCGTGATGCTTTGCTCAGTGGATTCTGATTATTTTTTAAAATTGATTGTTCATTTTTAATGGTGTTCTAATGAAACACCGTTTAGCTCTGCAGTGGTTTGCATCTATGGTTAGCAAGCCAAATACCAGTGTGCTTTGTTTCACAAGTAGCATTAGAGATAAGAGAGGGTAAGATCGTGCCCTGGTTTTACAAGGCTGTAAGAGGCACTTAGGGGCCATAGAGTCTCCTGCTTGGCTGCCTAAAGCCTACTCTGGTCATTAAATAATGTGAAAGGCTTATAATAACAGCTGGTGACTAATCTATTCCCTTTGTACAAATGTTTTACATTTGTCACTATAACCATTGCAGAGAGACAGCTCTGCTCTCCTGAAAGCTGAATCTTGCCCAGAATTTTTTTTATTTACTCAAAACTGCACCCTTACAAGTCGCCACTTGCCAAATATTATCACATCATGATGAGAGTTTACATTCTGTAGTAGGTACAATCAAAAGATTGTAGTCACAGGATCTTTATGATACCAGATAAGATAAAATATTAAGCAGGAAAAAGGAGTGGAAAAGGTGTTAAAAAAACTCTTTCTTTAAAATAATTGATACCATGCTTTCCAAGAGAAGTTTTCCTCAATCTGCAAATGGAAAAGAACCCTTTGGTTTTTTGTGGAGTGAAAAAAAAAAAAAAAAAAAGATCAGTAGAGCACTGGGATTTGAGATGCACCAGAGATGCACCACTGCTAAAGTTCTCTATTGTGCCAGTCACAACTGAGGTCAGTCAGACATTGAGTCTCTGCTTTCTAGACACACAGGTTCATTTATTACCATGTTTCATGTTTTAACATATCACATATGAATTGTACATGAGAATCACACACACCAAACATGTTGGTGTTTGTGCCTCTGGTTCAGTGCCTCTTCACTCTTATTAAAGAGATAATATTGAATTCTTGGACTTTCCAGGACATCTGTGGGTCATGCTAGGTGAATGCCAAATCATTTCACTGAATGACTTCTCCAGATGAGTTTGTGACTTACACAGGGAGGTACAGCCTGACAGTGAGAGTGAACCTGGACTGACCCTGATTTCCTGGAGAAGGACCAGCAGCCTCCTTGTTCTAAAGAAATTTTAATTGTTCACCTTCCACTCCGTGTGGTCATTTATATCTTTTCTACTGGCCTACTTCCAAGGAAAGGTCCAAGTATTACCTTGCTTCCAACACTGCAACTGCACCTCTCAGGAATATCAGCCACACACTGTCCCATGTATTTCAGAGCATACAGATTCCTGTTTTTCCCTCAGACCCTTTGCCTTCCTGGCAGCACTATGGACACTTTCATATTATAACCCCTTAAAAAGTTTAAAAATTCCAAGTAAAAGAGATGATGACACTTTTATTCTTTTTTTATAGGTCAGCTTAAGACCAAAGAATCTTATAGCCCTTGTCTTGAGTGAAGCCATTTCCTGTCTTTTGTAGTGTTTTTGTATATTCAGGAAGGCAGAAGGGACAAGATTGATGCCTAGAGCTGCTCAAAGTGTTAAAGCAAGGATTTCACCAAAATCTCATTTCTCATCAGCCAAAATGTTCCTCAGCTCTGTGTAAGTTCCTGCAAAACCTAGATGTTTAAAATACCCATCTCAAACTATAAAACATTTAAATGCTTAGTTTTCAAGTTTTCAGAAGGAAATACCTGCATTTTTCATTAACAGTTTAAAACATTGATTTTTTTTTCATTTCAAGCTTAATAATTAAATTAACAAAATCAATTAAATTAACAAAAATTTAATTCAATTTCCCATTCAACCCCAGAAGGAACTGACAACTTTTCAGTTTACACACTTTTTAAAGACAGATTTTTTTTTTTAATGCATTTGAAAGTTCTTCACAAATATTTTGCTGCATGTTTTCAGAATTGTCAGAACACAAGAACAGCCATGGCTGCAGCAGTAAGTTCCATGACTGTGAAGGACACAGACTCACGTGGCCTCCAACAGCTGTATTCCATCTAATTCTCCTACTGCAGCTTTAGTTTCCTATTGCTTTGGCAACTCTAAAGGTCCAGAATATCTTGTGGATAACATTAGGCATGGGAACATAGGTAAAATTTAGTCTGCCTGGAAACAGCAGTGAATTCATGGACATTTTCCATCCCCTGCTGGTCTTCCAGGAACGGTGCCACTCTAGCCTACCTCTTTCTCCTACCTCTGTGTAGGATTCTGTTCCAATGGTACATCTGTGCTCTGCAAATGCATAAATGCACCACAGTGGTGCCAAGGAATAAAGCAGGACTGGCTTCAGGTGAAGGGAAGGAGAATCTTCTCAAGGGAAAAGACACCTGGGAGTGATGAGTCAACTAAATTTTGGAAAGTGAGGGATGGATGGGATGGGATGGGATGGGATGGGATGGGATGGGATGGGATGGGATGGGATGGGATGGGATGGATGGGATGGGATGGGATGGGATGGGATGGGATGGGATGGGATGGGATGGGATGGGATGGGATGGGATGGGATGGGATGGGATGGGATGGGATGGGATGGGATGGGATGGGATGCTCTGGTGACAAAAGGAGATGTGATTCATGGGAAAGTCACATGAAACATAAGCATGTTGCCCAATGCTCCCTGCCGTGTCTGGGGATGGCTAAGTCCTCACAGAGGTATCACCAGGAGGAAACTCTGTTGTTATGTGTGGCCACCTCTTCCCTGAAATCCAGAATCAGAGACTGAAAGAGGAACTAAACAAGATTCTGCAAAATTTGTGCTTTTTCATAAACCTTTCCTAATGCTGCACTCTTTGCATCAAGCTCAGCTGTGGAGCTTTCTTTTGTGACTTTCACTCAATATCTGTTATCATCATCAATTGGTCCCAAATCAAGAGTTCCTCTGCAATAAATCTGTGACTGTTGGAACAATGAAAGCCAAATCATGCTCTGTCCAAGAAGCTTAATATCTAAATGCAGGACAAGAGAGAGAGATAGACAAACAAACAAGAAATAAAAGAGTTCTAAAAGAGAACAACTGTGATAAGCAGGAGTCCCAGCACATCTTGTTCCCTGGCATTACCAGCTCCCTTTGTAGGCATCATGGCAGGGGAAAACTTTATTCTCTTGATCCAAAAAATAACCTATATTTTGAATGTTTTGTTATAAATCCAGTTTGATCAGACATGGGATCTCTGGAATGAGAATAAGCATATGGTATCTTGCCAGACAAATCATTGGTGGTTATCTTTGAGCAGTTTTTCCCAAACATTTTTATAATCTACACACACACATATTTAATTGTATGCTTTACATGAAATTCTGTGCCTTAGCCTCATCATGAAAACACATTTTCTGGATAATTGAGATAGTTTAATAAAAAAAAGATTTTATGACTTGTAGTGGACATGATCTTTTAGCGGTTTCTGGCTTGTGAGGTTACAGGGATCAGGCCTGTGCTGCACCTCCTGTGGTAAGAAGCAAAGACCTTTCTTGTATGAAAATAGGTTGAATTAAGGAAATCAGTAAAGAACCACAAATGATTCCATCAAAAATTATTTCTAAGATAACCCAGTCCAAACTAAAGCTGGTGGAAATACTCCAAGTAACACCAGCAGAGACAAGTCCTAAGTATAGCCCAGACAATTTTATAAAACAGAAGTGTTGGCATGGTATATTTGCACAGAATTTTTTAATTATTTGAGATACTCATATGCAAGGTCCAGTTAAAGTGAAGGCTCTGTCTCTACCTGAATCACTCCTAGAACTCAATGTGACTTGGTCTGTTCCCACACACAGGAAGCATGGATAATCCAGCCACAGAGGAAGAGGTAAATTTAATCTATTCAGTGCCTTTCTCATCCAAGCAAAGAGTGGAATTACAGGGGAGGAAATGAGGCGAGCCTCAGCTCAGCTTGCTGGCAAGAGCATCTCAGGCTGTGTGGGGTAGGAGATGGGGAGGCAAAAAGGCCTCCTGAGGTTAAACAGCCACCAGCAAATTACTGGCCTCCCTCAAACTGGAGGAAGCAGCAAGGAGAGGGATTTGAAGGGATACTGAAATTCCTGCTCAAATTAGCAAAAGGATGATGCAGTGTAGATGTTATCTATTGTACTGGGCAAAACCTGTGGGCACAGCATACAACATTCTCAGGCACAGGGTGGGACTTCTGGGCTGTCCTGTGCAGGGCCAGGACTGGACATTGATGATCCTTGTGCGTCCCTTGCAATTCTGGGTATTTTATGATTCCACAATTTATGATTACCTAGTGCAGAGAAATGCAAAGACATCTCAAGTTTTTAAATTTAGGTCTGCAGATAGATACAGATCTGAGAACCTCCACCTGCCACTGCAGTGAGCAGAGGCTATTTTCAAAAAGAACAGTGGCTCCCATCCACAATGGAGCCTCTAGCACCAAAACCATTATTGGAGTTTTTAGTTTAATTCTCTATAATCTGTAGCTCAAGACACTAAACCATTTCCCTCTATGTAGCTTGTCCAAATCAGGCTCTGAAAAGCAGTGAATTGCCATCAAATAATAAGAGTCTGGTGGCTGAAATAAGCTGCCAGTAGCATTAATGAGGCCTCAATAAAGCAGAATTTAGCTGTACCACCAGCATTGCCCAAAGCAGGATGGAAAAGGTCTGTCTGACCACTGCTTCCCTGGGGACCTCCAGGGAAATGAGATGTATCTCATGAGCTTCTCAATCAGCAGAAATTGGAAGAAAAACAAATAAAACAGTTGGTGGTCTCAACTGTGTTTCTTGTGGGCAGTCACCCATGTTGCAAAAGCTTTCCTTGTGATGGGCACTAATTGCTCTCCCTTGTGAGAGATCTCAGTTGAGACGTCAGAAGTGAAATTACAACAGAGTAAAGGTCAGGGTGACAAAAGCATTTAGGTGCCTTGCCCCAAATAAGGAGCCAATGGGAATGCTGGTCCTAGTGTAGGAAAAGCCACCTGGGCTCATCTGATCCACACTTAATCAAATGTAGATAATGAATGAGTTGCTGTTTCAGAGTTTTTCTACAAAGTAGGAGGAAAGGCACCTCCAAAATCAAATCAGATCTTCTGTGGGACACAGAGCTTCCCTGAAAGTGCTAATTTAAAACATCAATAGAAAGAAAGATCAGTGCTAAAACCTCAGAAAACTGCCCAGCCTGAGGTGTCCTGAACTTTGGCCTGTGTATGTACACCACTCTGCAGATTGTAGGATCTCTCTCACCTCATCCTAGTTCCTAAAATACAAGTGTCTACTTTAAGCTGTTCTTCCTCATGATCCCTGTTGGGAAACACTTCACTGACTCAGATGGACCTTTCACCAAAATTTGAGGCTTGGAGTGCCTTCAAACAGACTCTTTTCTCTGGGATGAATGGTCTGTGAATGAACCTCAGAGCTGTTGCCAGGTTGGAGAGGAAGATCTTGAATTTTGGATTTGAGTTCTTGATTTCTGAGTCATTAGTGAGTTATCAGAGTTATCAGAAGTTGCCAGGCTGAGAGAGGGACACACCCTCTGTGCTGTGAAATCTATAGAGAAGTGAACAAAGTGTGAAAAAGCAGTTCTGAAACTGCACATTTTCAAAGAAACCAGATGAAACAAGCAGGCAGTGATTCTCAGAACCAAATGTTAGTTCTCTAATCAGAAAGCAGATTACTGAGTGTTTCCCATGAACAATATATTTGTGGTTATACAAACTGTATAGGCACAGTTCCTAATACAAATAGAGTACTGTCATTGCTAGCAAGCTCAGTACACATATGTGGCTTTTCTTCAGTTAAAAATATGTTTTAAATTGCATTTCTAATCTTATTTTCCATAATTAACATATAGCCTTGTTTATAAAATTGAGATTTCTAGAAAAAAATTTGTAGGAAATACAATTTCTTCATGTTCATCCACATGTATTTAAGAACAGATCTTGGATATTCTTCTCATTACATAGATACCCTCAAAACCCTAATCTTAAGGAGTTCCTAATCACAACCTTGATCTTGAGGAATCATGGGGAGCTGTCAGAAGATTCTCATTAAAGACACAGTGAAATGGTGCATACCTGGTGGCAAGAAAGTGGCATTTGGTGTGATGTGGACCAGCCCTGGATTGATGGCCAGCTGCAGTCTGGGCTATGTCACACAGTGTCAGAGGATGCATTCTGGAGGGTACAAAGAAACAGAAAACAGAATCAAATGAAATATTAACAGTTAGATTAGATGCGAACAAATTGGAAATATGGAGTTTTATTGAAATCAGTTTAATATTTCTAAGAATGTATCTGGTTGGTATCTGGTGGGAATGATTTTCTAATGTGATATTTCAGCTCTCAGAAATGCCAAATGTTTAAAAAGTCACCAATGGTGGTGTTTTAGTGGAAAATGTTGACATTTTTTCATTTGAACATCACTGATTCTTGGGGAATATTTTATTCTACAAAAGCTTTCCAAGACACGGCCAAGTCTACATACTGCACTCAAAAGCAGAGTAGAAGGGTAAGGGGGACATTCTTAGCAGAGCAAATGGAGTTTAGGATAACAGGAGCAATTGATGTTGAGTGGGAAGGTGAGTTCGTGCAGTAACTGCTCTGATCTGAAACGTAATGTCCAACCCCGTCTCCTTTTCAGCTTCAGCTCAGAGCGAGTGTCAGATCCCAGTGTAAACTTTCCCATCTGTGTTATTCTATTAACTGAAAGGGAAAGGGATTAGCATGTGTACTTGTCACATCTTTTGACCTGTTGCATACTGAGACCCAAGGTAATGTTAAAGCAAACAGCATTCTTCTCCCTCCGCCAGGATAAGCAGGGCACGGGGGTGGCGTTTTGTGAGAAGAAAAGAAAGCCAGACCACGTAAAACAAAGTATGTACCCTGTGCAAAAATAAATCTTGAAGATTTCCAAAGGGTATACCTTAAACAGGGTGAGAGAGAGAGAGAGAGAGAGAAAACATTTGAGAGGAAAGTTCCCTTCCCTGCCAAGCAGCAGATGGAGGGCCTTCCCACGGAAATAGCTGCAGAAGACAGATCGCTGACAGAAACCTCTGCCAAGAGAAGGGGGTCCCACTCACCGTGCTGGTAAAAGCTCAGTGGACAAGAATTCTCTGATTAAAACTCCTTCTCCAGAGAAAGGGGGTTGGAGTGTGGCACAGCTCTCTTTAACAGCGTGGCCCACCACAAAAAGGAGACAGGTTTTGGAAGGATTACGTGGTTTGGGGTTTCAGTGCTTCTTTTCATACAGATCCTGTTTTTCTCCTCACTGTGAGTTTATAGAGCACATGTGCACACACACAGACATGCCTAATGGTAACAATAATCTGCTTTGCCTCTCCCTTCCTCTGCATTTTATTTCCACAAGGCCTTTGCAGTGATTGGGACAAGATGAACTGTTGGATGCTGACACTGATAGAGAATCCATTTGGGGATAGAGGGTTTAATGAAGCTGGGCACCAAAAATCTCTTTTTCAAATGTTTCAGTTAACTTGGCACTAAATTATTCATAGAGGAAGAAATTGAGGGCTTTCTGCTCCTTCTGCTTTTTTCCCCTGGATGTTTCTGATTCCTTTGTAAAAGTCCATAGGAGTGCATGTACTTTGTGAAAGGAGAAAACAAACTCAGCATCTGCAGGACAAACCCGTCCGTTCAGCAATGAGAAAAAAGGCAATTAACTGTATTGCTGTCACAGAGAGCCAAAGGAATGGGACAGGAATATGACCTGCATACAGTGTGTTAGGAGAGAATTTCTTCCAAGCAGGCTTAGCAGGTACTCCCTGATATTCCCAACATTTGAACAAGAGCCATTATATTACTGTTATGGCCAATGCTTGAGCATCTGATGTCAACAGAGTAGAAAATTAATGAAAAAAATGAGCCACAACTGAAGCCCAGTTCCACTTTTGGATTGTTTTCTCTGCTTATCCTGCAAGAACAACATCAACAAATTAAATTGAGTCCAGCAGTAGATTATCATGATAGCAAAACACACGAGGAAAGGATGAGGGAGGTGAATTTGTTCAGCCTGAAAAATCTGAAAGTTAAAGAAGAGATTTTAACTGGTGCCTACTACTACTGATAGATGGCTACACAGGAGATTGAGTCCAACTTTTCTCAGATACAGTGAAAGGATGAAAGGCAATGATAACAAGTTGCAAAAAGACAAATTCCTACTTCATTAAAAAATAAATTGAAAGGAGGACAGTTAAGTTCTGGAACAGGTTGCACAAAAAGATGGTAAAATACCTAACCTTGCAGATTTTTAAAACTTGACAGAACATGGCCCTGAGAAACCTTAGCTACCTTTGAAGCTGGCCCTCTTTTAAGCAGGGGCAAGTTGATCTACAAATGCCAGTTTCAATCTGAACTCGTCCATGATTCTGAGAGTACCAATTATAATTTCTGCATTGATATAGACAATCACCTTCTGAAAGCCCCAACTCTTATCTCAACCCTAATGTCCTCCTCTAAATGAAAACTTTTTCTTTCACTCCTACAAACCAGAAAAGCTTTGCTACAAATAAGAGTCTGCACCACCTGCCCTTTGTGCCTTCGTGGCAGGGTTTTAAATTCTCATCATCATCACCATCTATGACAAAGAGGTCTCCAGAACAGTGCAGTTATACTGGCAAAATATTCTCCTGAAACATAGTGCATTTCTTCTCACTGGCAGAGCCATAATGGTAGGAGTCTGGAGAGAAGACAACTGAGGGTGACGCACAACTTTCCTGCTGTGACAATAAGGGGTATCAAAATAAATTTATCAGGGAGACAGAGGAATATCCTGATTTTCCCTTGATCATTTTAACAGGAAATATTTCCCTGTACTTTGCTAAAGATTAGGCAAAACTGGTTTAAAGGTGTAGAGAAACTCAAGGGAGATGGAGCATGGAGTGTAGGGAGCAACACTGAGCTTGTCCTGCGTTGTGGGGCACCAGATGAGATCCCAGCCACTGCTGCTGGGACTCCTCACCATGGCTCGTGGTGTTCCCAGAGCAGGTATTAATTAGCCCCTCTCTGAACAGACTCCTGAACCACAATCTGTTATAATAATTGCAACCATTTCAGTGCTGGGATTGGAAATGTTTTCAGGGTGTAATTTTTGTCTGAACAAAGAAGGCATTTTCTGGAGGCCATGTGGCCTGGGTCATTGTTTTGCTGCAAGACACAAAGAGATAAGAGCCCTCACACTTCACCAGAGTTAGTCTTATCCCTTTTCATGACCATAAGGACCCATGCTGGCAGTACAGGGCAGTGTTATCCCAAATTTTCTCATACAACAACATTCCCTCCTCATTTTCTTCTCAGTTCCTGAATCATCTTTATGGACTTGTCTTAGAGCAGTACATAAAATGTTCCTTCCACAGGCTAAGGCTCCACATGCTGTGCAAGCACAGGATGCAACCTTGACACCACTTCCATGGTGCCATCCTTCCAGAAGAGATGTATACAGTGGTATTTGTACAAATTTATTGCCTAATGCCTCTAAAATGACATTTTGTAAGTTCATTGTAAATGCACTGGCTGACAGAATAATTCCACTCACGGAGTCTTGACAATATCTGTGCAGAAGTTTGTGGATTTTTTCATCTCTGATATTAGATATTAAGAGGTCTAATTACCCAAAGTCAGATGTGAAGGTGCCTGGGTTCTAGGCTTTATATTCACACAAACAGACTGTTCTTTTTAATCAAGTAATAACCTTTTATTATAGCTGTGTCTAATAATGTACATGTAAATATGCATGCACATAAATACAGAAACACCCACATGTTTTTGTACTGCACACTCCAGATAAAGAGGAGCAGGGGAAAACACATCAGGGCCATGTTTCACATCACAAATTTCCAGTCTCCTGAAACAGACAGACAATACATGTTTTCTATAGGATTATTCAATCTGTGTACCAAGACAGTGGCTTTAAAAAGACCCTCCAACTTTCAACAGATCTTACTAGGACTGCTCAGCAGATTTCCACTCCAGTTATGTACCAGAAAAATTACCTGCTTAATGCATTTTAAGTCTTATTTAAATTTTTCTTTATTTTTTTTTTTTAATTCTGTCTGAAGAGAATATTAGTTCAAGTATTTATAGCCCATTTGGTGGTGTTCTGACACCAGAATGCCAATATTGTCACCCCAGGTGCTGAAAGGCAGAAGGATGCACACACCCATGTGTAGACATAGACAGGCACACACCCCCCAAATCCTGCCATGCTCGGTGTGCAAGAGACACTTAATGATTTGTCCTTGTTTAGTAGCAGTAAAGTGGTGGGAAAAACATGCTGTGGGACATTTTAATGCCTTAAGGATTTTATTTACTTGTTTAAATAATACGTCAGTTTTATATATCCCAGTTGTTCAATACCTACTTTTTCGCTGGCTATTTAATTTAACGATAATCTATGTCTCCAAATTCTCACTAGCAATTCTTATCATCTGCTTTATGTCATAGCTGGTGGGGTCTGAGGTCTGTACAGGATGGTGACATTTCTGATAAGAATATCTTCAATTTTTTATTCTTTAGAACAGGTGAAAAGAAGGATCACCAAAGCACTTCTCAAAGTTGTTTCAAAGACAGAGACCTTTCTTTACAGGGAGGAATTTAGATCAAGTCTGTCTCTAAAATAATAAGTGATGGTGAATAGCATTACTCACATGGCTTAGAAAAAGTAAGGGTTTTTTTACCTAAACTGTGAAGGGCAGCAAACTGCAAACCATCCACTGGCTTCAGTGGAGTTGAGGTTTTACAGAGTGTTCTGAAGAGCAATAGTTCCTCTGATTGCCTAAGTGGGAGCAGTATCTGGTTTGCACTTGATCTTCCCTGATATCACTCATCACCCCCAGTCCTTGGGTACCTCTAAGCTCAGTGTAGACCCTGTTGTGTCACTATCCTCCCTGCAATCAGTGCTGTCCACACACTTGGTATAAATGGTAAATAAACAACTGTACCAGCGAAAAATAATTTCAGATTTGTTCGTCTACATTATGTGGATATGGGTGCGAATAACACAAAATAAAAGTAGAGTTGATTCAGAATCAGTCTGAGTTTTGAACCATGGTACATCATGGTCTAGAAGCAATTTACTTTCACACTGCTTATTCCTTCCCACTAACAAAGTCTATCTACACCAACACAAAGTCCACAGAGAAGTCTCTAAAAGGAAAAAAAAA